AGCCCCCCGGCAGCGTCTGGAAACAGCCCAAAACACCCCAAAACACCCCAAAACAGCCAAAAACGGGGCCGGGGCGCTCCCGCCCCAAATCCTACAAGAGTTTGCTGTGTCTCCCCAGTCAGTTATTATTATTTAATAGTAGAGGAATAGCCGTCACAGCCCTGTCAGGCGGAACACAAGTTCCCCCCCTCACCTGAGGTCTCCCCTCGTGGAGAGAGGAGGCATCGCCCGCTGCCCTGCGCACCCAAAACTGGCCCGACTTTCCCCAAAAAAAGCCTTCAAAACACGCTACTGAGGCCACTCTGCCCTCGCTGCCTCCTGCTCGGAGGTGTGCAAAGCCTTAAAGGCCACGGAAAAACGTCTTTGGTTGCATTTCCTAATTCGCAGCGCTGCGGCACAGCCCCGGTGCTCGCTGGCCCGGCGGCGGGAGCGGCGCTGGGAGCCGGGGACGGTTCCGAGCTCGGGGTCTCGGGAGCCATTTGGTGTCACTAGATGTCACTGTCGGCTCGTGCCGGGGACACCGGGTGACAAGGCTGCACTGTCACCTCCATTGCCGGGCCAGCAGCTGGAGCACGGCCTCAGGGCCGGCCGTGGCTCCGGCCGGGGGATGAGGGACAGCCGGGCTGCCGGGGCCGCGTTCCCCGCTGTGCTGTGGGAGCCAGCGCAGGCCGAGCTCCATCGCACCGTGCCCGTGGCTGCGACCACAGGGACGAGGCACAGGTGGAGCGATGCTGCCGTGGCTCCTGTTGCCATTACAAACTCAGCGATTCATGGAATATTTATGTGGGAAAAGCTCTCGAAGAGTAACGAGTCCAATATTCCCTGGCACTGCCGAGGAAACAACTGAGCCATGTCTCCAAGTGCCACATCCACATGGTTTTTAAATCCCTTCAGAGATGGGGTTTCCAACACTGCAGCGGTGCCATGGCTGGACAGCCCTTCCAGTAAATGAATTTTCCCCAACATTCAATATAAACCTCCCCTGTCACAACCTGAGGCCCTTTCCTCAGGGATTTCCCCATGGAAAGGGGTGGAATGGCAGAGGCTGCCCAGGGAGGTTTGGAGTGCCCATCCCTGGGCAAGGGAAGGCCTGGAGGTGGCACTCAGGGCTGGGCTGGGGACAAGGGGGGACTCCATGGGCTGGGAGGGATTTTCCAGCCTCGGTCATTCTGGGATTCCTCTCCTCCTGTCCCTGTTCCCTGCGAGCAGATCCCAAATCCCCCCCGGCTGTCCCCTCCTGCCAGGGACTTGTGCAGAGCCAGAAATTCCCCCTGAGCCTCCTTTGCTCCAGGCTGAGCCCCTTCCCAGCCCCTCAGCAATTCTCCAGCCCCTTCCCAGCCCCTCAGCAATTCTCCAGCCCCTTCCCAGCTCCCTCAGCAATTCTCCAGCCCCTTCCCAGCTCCCTCAGCAATTCTCCAGCCCATCCCAGCCCCCTCAGCAATTCTCCAGCCTTTCCCAGCTCCCTCAGCAATTCTCCAGCCCCTTCCCAGCTCCCTCAGCAATTCTCCAGCCTTTCCCAGCTCCTCAGCAATTCTCCAGCCTTTCCCAGCTCCTCAGCAATTCTCCAGCCTTTCCCAGCTCCTCAGGAATTCTCCAGCCCCTTCCCAGCTCCCTCAGGAATTCTCCAGCCTTTCCCAGCTCCTCAGCAATTCTCCAGCCTTTCCCAGCTCCATTCCCTTCCCTGGGCACGCTCCAGCCCCTCAGGCTGGCAGAGCAGGAGCTGCAGAGGTCTGGCCATTCATTCACAGGTTCTTGTTCTCCAGGGGCCTGAGCACCCCATACTCACCAGGCATGACTGCTCTTACTGAAAATGCGGTTTTATCTCTGCAGGATCCTGCCCAAAGCTAGTAACTCCTGTCATCTGCTTTGATATGGGATCATCAATCAATTGAAAAAAAGATCTTTAGTACATATTTTGTCCAAAATAGTTTATTAAGAAAAAAAACCTCTTTGGGGAAGGATGAAAGTACACTTGGTTTTGGTTAGATTTTTTTTGTTGCTAATTTCATTTGAAAATTAAAGTGAGTACTTGGAAAGTTTTCTGTCTGTTTTTTTGTTGTTTTTTTTTACATTCATTCCATCTCTCTTTTTAAAATTAATTCGATTTTTAATAAAAGACAAAGCAAATAAATAAATGACATGTATTAAGGCAAAAAAAAAAAAGATATTTCTATAAATAACAATATAAGAGTAAAGTGATATACAGTGTTCTAGGTCAGAAAGAGACAGAATAAATTATCCTGAGCTGATGGGCCGTGGTGGCTGCTGCCCTGGGCAGCCTGAGTCCTTAGTCCTGGCCCCCCAAAGCCCTCCCCACCCCAAAAATCCAGCTGTTAACTGCATCAGGCTGCTCCAGATGTGCTCTGAGCACCGCAGCTGCTGTGTCCCAGGGCACCTGCACGGATAATGAGCAGAGAACAGAGCTGCTGCTGTCTGGTGGCACATCTGGTGTGGGGCAGGGGGCAGTCTGCAGCAGCACAGGGGCTGTGAGCTGCTTTTTCCTGCAGCCTCCAGCCCTGCAGCTGCAGCAGCAGCAGCAGCAGCACACACCCTGGGCAAGGACAGCAGTACCAGGACAGAGGCTGCCAGGGCTGAATGCAGCTCAGAGAAGCTGTGAAAAAGGCACAGATACACCAAGGCACTGCCAGGGGGAGGCACTTCTGCTCCAGGGCAGGATCAGACCCTGCTCATCATCGCTTTGCTGGAGTCCATGGGTGGGAACAAAGGGCCCTTTGGGGGTATTTTGGTTGTGATTGATCTGAACATCAAGTGTGGGAGTCAAGTTGAGAAGAAAAAACAATCAGGGAGATTCTCCTTCTTCCTTGGAGCACACAGGCACATATAAGTGACCCTGCTTTTAAATGTCCTTGTGCTCAGAGCCATCAGAGACAGCATCCCATTGCCTCAGCTTCAGAATAACCCTCTGATTGTCACCCCAGCTTCAGAGTAACCCTCTGATTGTCACCCCCACACCACAATCACTCTCTGATTGTTGTCCCAGTATCAGTCACTCTCCAGTTCTCACCCCAGCACCAGAAACACCCTGATTGTCACCCCAGCCTCTCAGCTGGAAGCTGTGTGTCCTGGTGCTTCATTAGCAAACAGATCACCTGCCATCAAGTGATGAAGCCCCAGGAATTAGAGCACCTGGCTACCAAACAGCAGCCAAAGAAATTCGGGGGGTTCCTTCCAGCCAGCTGCAGTTCAGTCCTGTAGCTCCAGCTCTCAGATCAGAACAGCCCAATCTCCTCGGCTGTTCAGAGCTCCACGTCCACAGGGTCCTCCTCGTGGTCCTTGCTGTCCGTGGAGTCGGCGCTCGCGGGCTGGATCACCCCAAACTGCGACAGCTTTGCTGCCTTCTGCTCCATGCTCTGCTTCCTCCACTTGATCCTCCGGTTCTGGAACCACACTTTCACCTGGGTGGGAGATGGCACAACAGCTTCATCCAAGCAGCCCTTTTCCAATGCCACGTGGCATTGGATGTGCATTATTCCCTCAGGGAATATGAACAAGAACAGGAGGAGGTGAAGCTACAGAGGGCAGGGCAGTGATGGGAAAGGATCAGGGGGAGGGGGATGCAGCTGCACTGAGAGGGGTCTGGACAGGGAAGTGAAGGAAGCAGCTCCCTAAGGAGCCCCTGAACCCATCCCCAGGACTGCAGTTGCTACAGGGCATGATGAGAGCCCCAATAATCATCCCTTGTCCCCCCAGAACTGGCCTTGTTTTGCTCTCCCTTTTTCCAAGGCGAATTTAGATCCCACTGTGGAAGATCACCTGGCTCCTTCTTTCCACACTGAACAAGCAGTTCACAGTGGGAGGAGCAGGAGCTCACACGGCAGAGCAGGGAAATAATTATATCCAGTGTCATAAAAGGACACTTGAAACAGTCTCCAGAGGATTGTGACAGTGCAGACACAGCAACCAACCCAGCTTGAACTCTAAAGCACAGCAGGGTTGTGCTCCTGAATGCTCTTTGTTCCACTTCCTGGATTCAGAAATCTTATCCAGAAACCATCCAAACTCCAGGCACATCTCTTCAATGTCACCTGGCAGCAGGGTGTTCCACAGGTCACTTTTCACAGTGTCCTCCTCCCACCATGCTTCCCAGTGGGATCATCAGCAGGGACAGTGGGGATCATCAGCAGGGACAGAGAACATCAGCAGGGACAGAGAACATCAGCAGGGACAGAGAACATCAGCAGGGACAGTGGGGATCATCAGCAGGGACAGAGAACATCAGCAGGGACAGTGGGATCATCAGCAGGGACAGTGGGATGATCATGGAGCAGTGGGATGATGAGCAGGGAGCAGTGGGATGATGAGCAGGGACAGTGGGATCATGAGCAGGGACAGTGGGATGATGAGCAGGGACAGTGGGATCAGCAGGGACAGTGGGATGATGAGCAGGGACAGTGGGATCATCAGCAGGGACAGTGGGATCATCAGCAGGGACAGTGGGATCAGCAGCAGGGAGCAGCCCCAGGATCAGCTCCCCCATCCCTCACCTGGGTCTCTGTGAGGTGCAGAGTTGCAGCCAGGTCCACCCTCTCGGTGCCCACCATGTACTGCTGCTTGAGGAACTCCTGCTCCAGCCGCTCCAGCTGCTCTGGTTTGAAGACTGTGCGGACTCTCTTCATCTTGCAGGGCCCCCCTGACCTCCAAGGCCCAGTGGGACCCAGCGAGTTGGTCCCGATGCAGTGGGACAGCTCCAGACCTGCGAGAAAGCAGCAAGAATTGACAGGGTCTGCACTAAAGGGGCTGGGAGAAAGTAGCACCAAACCCAGCAGGGATGTCCCTGCCCTGTCCCTACCCAGCTCATCTCATCTGGGCTCCTTTTCCCATGAAAAGCTGGGGCAGAAGAACTTTTGAGGGCCTGGTCTGTGGTTTCACCCTCAGGGTCCACCAAGGACAATCCTGGACATGCAGCCAGACCCAAAGAAATGAGCACTCAATGGGGTGGGCAGGATTTGACCTTTGCCTGCACAGGACCTTTGTAACAGGATAATAAATTGTATCAAGAGCTGCAGAGCACAGCAATCCCACCTCTGTCTCAAGAAACCCCAAATCACAAATGCTCAGCGTTTGGGGGAGTTTACCCCAGACTGGCCCCTGCTTTTCCCCTTCCTTTGGCACACGGGCTCAGTGTCCAGCTCTCATGCAGGACCACATCCTGCACCTCTGCTCCCTGAAAAGTTCCCAGGGGGTGCTGAGCATTTAGCAGGACTAAGGAGTGTATCTGACCTGTCTCCACTCCAGCTGTGGCCTGAGGATAACTGTAATTAGCATTAATTAACATACAATCCAGCACCAGCACTGCCACTGGCACCTGACTGAGAGCAGGTCTGGGTTCCTGAATCCCTCATCATCCTCCCTGATCCTGCTGTGTCCCTGCAAGAGGCTGCAAACCCCAACCTCTGTGTTCTTGAATCCCTCATCATCCTCCCTGATCCTGCCATGTCCCTGCTCCCTGCAAGGGGCTGCAAACCCCTGGGTTCCTGAATCCCTCCTCATCCTCCCTGATCCTGCTGTGTCCCTGCAAGGGGCTGCAAACCCCAACCTCTGTGTTCCTGAATCCCTCATCATCCTCCCTGATCCTGCTGTGTCCCTGCTCCCTGCAAGAGACTGCAAACCCCTGGGTTCCTGAATCCCTCCTCATCCTCTCTGATCCTGCTGGGTCCCTGCAAGGGGCTGCAAACCCCAACCTCTGTGTTCCTGAATCCCTCATCATCCTCCCTGATCCTGCCATGTCCCTGCAAGGGGCTGCAAACCCCAACCTCTGTGTTCCTGAATCCCTCATCATCCTCCCTGATCCTGCCATGTCCCTGCAAGGGGCTGCAAACCCCTGGGTTCCTGAATCCCTCATCATCCTCCCTGATCCTGCCATGTCCCTGCTCCCTGCAAGAGGCTGCAAACCCCTGGGTTCCATGGCCAGGATTGCACCAGAGAGCTCCTCCAGGCTCCGAGCACAGCGGGAATGCTTCAGGAGCCAGGGAAGGCCAGCACTGCTTTCACTTTAAAATTCCCCACTAATTACAGCCACTGGCATTTTCCATGTGGAAAGCACCGAAGGCACAGGCAGGATCGGGCCATCAATGCTCCCCCATCTCTGCTGTTCCAAAATATTGTGGCAAGCCAGGTTTCTCTATCTTTTATGGAAATACTGCACATAAAGATCCCCATTCACACCTGCTACTTATCTCTCCTTTAATCACTGATCTTGTCACGTTCTCCAGGCACAAACCTGCACCTTGACCTAGTTATTTTCATTAATTGGGTGTCATTTCTGCGTGTGTTTAAGGATTTGTGGGACTGAGACCTGACAGCTTAACAGCTGTAATTGCACTTACAACTATTTTCATCATTAAAATCTTTTCACCCATCACTTTTTGTTTCTATTTTAACACTGGAATAATAGCAAGTGTAATTTCCAACATGAAATGTTGAGTGGAAGTCACTCTGCAAATTGTTTAACTGTGTTTTCATACCTGGATGTTTGATATAATATAAAGATTAACACAATTCTGCAGGTGCTGTCTTGTGAGAGAAATAATACATAAAACAGCTGTGCCAGGTACTTAATAAAAGAGTTTTAAATTAAAAATAATACTTTTGGTGTCTGAATAGTGCAGCATCAGGATCCAATCTGGAGTTCCTTATACACAAGGAATATGGGCCTGGCTGCTGGTTTTGCCTGGACAACAGCAAGATCACGCTCTGAATGCTAAAAAAGGAATACTTCATTTCAAGAAAAATACTCAGAACAGAGGTATTTTGTTAAAATCACTTGGTTGTTGTTCCTAAAAAGTTCCAGTGAGAATAGAGCCTGACAGATCAGGGAGTATCATCCATCACCACCGTGTAAATTTTACCCACGGATCAACAAAAGCATTTTTCCTGAGATGCTTCTGCACTAAAAATATTTAGTTTTGGGGGCAAGTGCCACAAAATACTTGGCAATTTCACTTCTGTGAGTGAAAAATTATAGGGAAAGCAAAATTAGAGAGGGATGAGGGCAAATTTGGGAGAAGAGGGACCCACGGAGCAGCAGAGGTGAAGAAATTTATTTTGAGAGCGAAGCTTTGGGAAATTACAGCAAGTTTTTGATTAAAACTCCGTCAGTGAAGTGCCTTCCTGATATATGAGAGATAAATGCCAGAGTGTGTAAAGTCACCCATAAAATCTCATGGAAGCACGGATTGCTTCGGGTTGGAAATGTCCTTTAAAATCATCCAGTTCCAACCTCCGACACCTCCCTCCAGCCCAGGCGCTGGAATTCTCTCTTTTTTAGCTCTCTCACTTCACTATTAAATCTATTCCAAGTTTTTGGCTCCGTCTCAAGTGCAAACAGTGATTTTGGATATTCCCCAGGTTCTGGACTGGGGACCGAATGATGGATTAGTAAAATCCTGTAGCGATTTTAGGAATCAGCCACGGGCTCTTTCAAAGTGTCCAGAGCCATCGGCTGCGTTAGGAACTGCCTGGCGATATAAAACAATCCACAGAAAATGTTCATTTTTGGTCTCGCTATATCGGTCGTTTACAGAGGGAGGAAAAAAACCCTTCAGGAAAGTTTTCCCTGTCCGTCCCTGTCGCTGTCCCGCAGCCCAGCGCTTCAGCTCGGGGCTGCTGCAGAGATCAGCGGGGGAGCGCTCGGGGCTGAGCCCGGCCACGTTATGTCCCGGGGGCTGCTCCCGCATCCCTCCCGGTGTCCCGCATCCCTCCCGGTGTCCTAAATCCCTCCCCGCATCCCTCCCGGTGCTCCTCATCCCTCCCGGTGTCCTGCATCCCTCCCGGTGTCCCGTATCCATCCCGGTGTCCCGCATCCCTCCCCGCATCCATCCCGGTGTCCTGCAT